TCGTATCCAAAAAAAATTTCCAGCAAAATGTTCTTAAAAGCATTTTTTAGGGCTTTTTTAGTTTTATCCTTTTAAGTTATTTTAAACACATAATAGTCCCAAATTCAAGAAAGACAAATTTAAGATATGTCATTTTAACCTAAAAGAATGGCCTCAATGTGTATAGATGGTGAAAGAATATGTTTGTAATAAATAAAACCATGATGAAAATGCTTAATATTGAGTTTCAAACACACGTGTGTGGCCGATATTATAAGTAAGATAAGCCCTATGTCGTATTGTTTTCTATATGGGGAGTGGGGTGGGGTGGGTATGGTAAATTACTAACCGAGAAATGAGGATTGTATGTTATTATTATTATTATTGTTATTATTATTATTGTTGTTATTATTATTATGTTGTAATGATGTTGTTTGTACTGTTCTTTAATTTTATTAAAGAGGGCCCCTGAATATCAGTTAACCTACTGGGCTAAACTAGAAGGGTTATCCTCTTTAAAGATGGTTGAAATAAAAAATAAAAAATAATAAATACCCACTCTGACCCAAGACCCCTGTTACGCGCCTGGTGTTAGCGCCAATGTGTGCCCTTGTGCGGACAGGAGATGTGCCCCCCTTTGAAGCTGGAAACCTTGTGTTTGCAAAATAAATTGATGCAATTTGCTATTATACTGTAGGCAAAAATAATCCAACCAAGTTTGATGCTATATTGACAACAATCCCATTGAGAATGTTATTATAATAAAACTCCTGGGTTTAACAATCAGTAAAAATTTATCATGGCAAGCCCATGTTTGTATTACAACGTAGGCTAACTCTAGACTATACTTTCTTAAACAGTTGCGACGGTGTGGCCTCAGTCAGAGTGCCCTTGTTTATGGGTCATTCCATGTCAAATCAACCATATTTCAAAAAAGTTCCAGTATGACCCTCTCAGATTTTGATGAAACTCCATAAAAATGATCTACTATGTGAAAAACCAACACCAACAAAATTAGGGTTATAGGTTTTGTAGTTTCCGAGATATTGACGCCCCAAAAAAAGGGGCGTGGCTCTTCAAGATGCGCAAATGCAATTTCCTCCAACTTTGGAAGCTTATAACTCGGGATTGGTAATAGCTATCAGGTCAAACTTGGTATTCTAACTTATATTCCCCCATATTACACAAATATGGCATCAGATTAACTGTTATCCCTTCTTTTTTTAAGTTATCTGCACTCAAAATAGCCACTTTGTTTAACGACACAATTTTTTTGTGATTTTCAATGTCTCCCTGTGTCCGTATGAGTGAATGTATACATCTTAAATTACAGATATATTATCTATGGGTAGTTGTCTCTAGCCACAAGCAAACACAGGTTGATCAAATGAATTAAAATGGAATGGCATCGATTCAAAGTTGGGACCAGCCCTAAAAAAGTGAAAAAAGCCTATGTTTCCCATTAACGGTTCGTCATGTGGACAGTTAAAATCTTTTCTTAAGTTTACACCAGTTAACCAGATATATTAGATCTACTTATACACCAAATTTCAGCTTTGGTTCTCAGCTCCTTCATGGTTAGATACTATGTTGAAAACTACACATATTGTAACATAATCGGAAATAACTACTAAATTTTTTAAGAGTTGGGTAATTCCATGCCATGGGATCATAGATTTTTAAAATTTTTTATACTGACAGTTATTCATGTGAATTGAAAAACCTGAAATTTTTAGACTCCAATTCCTGTTTGTTTTCCTGTAGTGGCAGTTTGATGTAAAAGGGGGCGTGGCACAAATTAGTGCACTGTGAAATTAACTTTGATTTTCGTATGCTAATATCTTTGGAAGTACAGCACCTATAACCTTCAGATTTTGTGGTGTAGGACATCTTTTACTGTTGATTCCAAATCTGCAATCAGAAAAGTTGTAGCATGTACCATTGCAGAATAGCAATGGTCTACAAATGAGACAAAAACCTGTCTGGACCAACTTTTTGCATTTTTGGAGGGCTGTATCTGGGGAAAATAGGCTTAGTTAAGTTTATAACTATATATATGTAATACTACTGGGTGTGGGTTATGATTCCTAAAAATTTCCAGATTAAAAAAAGTTTTTCTTTTTGAGTTACAGCTACCTGAACAATGGTCCAGACAGGTTTTTGTGCATTTTTAAACTATTGCTTTTCTAAATTGGTACATGCTTTTCCTGATTGCAGATTTGGAATCAGCAGTAAAAGTTGTTCTACACCACAAAATCTGTAGGTTATAGGCGTTGAACTTCCGAAGATAGGGATATGAAAAATCCAAGTTAGGCTTGCAGCGGACTATTTTGTGCACACATCCCCTTTATGTCAAACTGCTGCTACGGGAAAATTAACAGGAATTTTAGTCTCAAAATTCCAGGTTTTTCAATTCGCATGAATATTTGTCAGTGTGCAAAAAATCTAAGACCCATGGCATAGAATAACCCAAGTCTTAGCAACTTTCGTTATTTCCGATTATGTTAAAATATGTGTCTGGACCATTGTTCAGGTAGCTATAACTCAAAAAGTAAATCTTTTTCAATCTCCAAATTTTTAGGAATCCTAACTCACCAGTATTACCAGTATATACACAGTAATAAACTTAACTAAACTTAAAATTTGCCCCAGATACAGCCCTCCAAAAATGCAAAAAGTTTGTCCAGACAGGTTTTTGTCCCATTTTTAGACCATTGCTATTCCGCAATGGTACATGCCACAACTTTTCTGATTGCAGATAACTTCAAAAGAGAAGGGATAACAGTTAATCTGATGCCATATTTGTGTAATATGGGGGAATATAAGTTAGAATACCAAGTTTGACCTTGATAGCTATTACCAATCCTGAGTTATAAGAGCTTTCAAAGTTGGAGGAAATTGCATTTGCGCATCTTGAAGAGCCACTCCCCTTTTTTGGGGCGTCAATATCTCGGAAACTACATATCCAGTAGGGCTAATCTTTTGAGTATGTTGATTTTTCACATAGTGGATCATTTTTAAGAAGTTTCATAAAAATCGGAGACGGTCGACCTGGGACCTCTGCTTGATTTGACACGGAATTACCCTTATTTTTATGTTAGTATTATTCGACCAGTTCTAGAATATGCTGCTCCAGTGTGAGGTACAGGGCTTACTAATTGTCAATGCAATCAGCTTGAACAGAGCGCTGCGAATCATTTTCCCTGATACAAGCTACATGGAGCACTGGCTCTTGTCAATATCCCAAAGTTGGCAGACCGGCGCACCCGACTATGCAGACAATTCTTCCAGAAAATAAAAGAACAATCACACAGATTTCACTCACTTTTACCAACTGCCCCAACTCATAAATACAACCTCAGGTACACACAAAAATTCCATCCCCTAAAATTCGGACAGAACGGTCAAAAATTTTTATTATTAATGCTGGTCTTTTCAGAAAATGGTAATTTGTCTCTGCAAACTGTAGTCTCGTGAACTGCTCAACAATGGCCGAAACGGTGCACTTTTTTTTTTGTAACCTCCTAATTTTCACATAATAACAGTAATAATAATAAATAATTAACAATAATAATAATATTGTTATAATTATTGTTATTATTTTGATAATAAGTATGATAATATTCTCTGTTTTGCTCTTTTGTGTAATTTTGTTTACCGTCTCCGTTTCGATGTTTTTAACTTTTTTTTAAGGCAATTTTTTTATTATGCATGTGCAATTCAACTGTTTTTAGTTGCGAATAAAGTATATTGTATTGTATTGTATTAATAAATTATACACATATTATTCAGAATTTTTGTTTTTGCATTACCATTCACGAAATGATTGCTCCGCTAGGATGGCCTACTTATCGGTTTTGGGTTTAGACATAAAAATATCCTGGTGCCGGATCGACCTGGATAAGATGGGGCCCTATTTTGAGATCGATAGAACCTCTTTTAATCATTTTTTCATTGATTTTCACTAATTCACATTTCTAAAGTTGGGTCCTCTCTAATTTTATGATAGAGAAAAAGGATTACTTTGTCTTAAAACTCCCCTTCATAGAGCCTTTATAAGCTGGTTTGATGAAGATACATTACACTGACACAATTGGCAATGACCTGTCTCTCATTTTTTTTTTTTTTTTTTTTTTTTTTTTGAGGTTTTCATTGGACAAGGAGTGGTTTTTTTTTCATTCTCAGCCTGCATGAAAGTTTCTAAAGCTGGGCAAGGATTCTTTTTGGTTAGAATTTTTTAACATACTTATATTTGTGATTTTGCCGTCTAAATCGGTAAAAAATTCATTTCTGAAGAAATCTTTCAGCTCCAAAGACAGTTGTTGTGGGCCATTTTGAGCAGTGAAGTCTGTGGTGTCATACGAATTATGGTTTATGCACCAAATAAACTTTCTGTGTTTACATGAAAGCAGAACATTATGCGAAGATTGAACCACTGTGTTTAAGTTATATGGTTTTGACAAACTTTGTGTTGTCTCCTGGGGAAAAGTTCCTTATTAAGCAACTTTTGTTGATAATTTTAAGTTTGTTTTGAAACTCAGATGTAAAAAGGTCTATTTTTAGCTTTCTTGTCCTAATGTGAATTTCAATGTTGATATCTTTAAGTTGTTAGCAGCAATTGCCAGTTAGTACATTTAATGGACATACAGGTAACATGCATTTTTTAATTACGCCATTCCAGCAGGCCTGGAATGGAAGTCATGATCATCAAATGGAATACCAGATGTGATGTGAAATTTAGTTCTTTAGGAGTTAAATTGGTAAAACGATGTTCAAGATTATTATTTATGGTTACAATACCCGATACGTTTTTCCGACAAAAAATTTGAATATAATTAGCTATGTATTAAAACGGTAGTGACCCTTCCTAGCCCCGCTTATTTCATCCCACCAGCGACAGGATATTAGTCCCCCCCCCCCTTAGAGCAAATCCTGTCGCCAGCACTGGTTTCCACCTGCCTGGGTATCAAATCCACCTCATTTGGTTTTTTTTTTATAAATATCGTGGTTATTTTTTGCAGTAATTTTGACAGCTGTCCTTGAGGCTTTCTCCAACCATGCCAACAGAAGTCAGATGGAAGAGGTACGGGATGCTGCTGGTAATGACATGATGAAAATGATGCAAACAGTGTTTCCCGTAGCAACTCAGATCCAGCAGCAAGTTATTCAGAAGTATGGATTCACAGCTGATGGAGAAGGTAGAGAATGTTTACTGTATTTTTAGGTGATGAAGGTGGATAGATGGTGGTTGTGGTTGCGATAATCTGGTTGTGCTTGCGATAATCTTTGTTTCATTAGACGACAACCATCTATTGTTTTACTTTAAATTTGATTCTAAAATTATATTTTTAATTCTTTATATAATAGGTGCTATAAAATTCACACAAGAAGTAAGACGATTCGAACATCAAGACCCAGAGATTGCAAGTTTAGCCCAACGCTTAAAAGCCATATTCTTACCACCTCTACCAGTGAATCAACCAGCAAGTTAGCTTTAAATACAAGGCATTCTATTATTTATTTGACAATTAAAGTTGAATGCTGTTAATATTTCGTGTCTTTTTTAATTTTCTCTCAGCTCCCTCTGCCTGTACAGCTCTGCATGTCGACCATGACATGCCGAGTGGACGAGCGGTAAGGAAGGGGCTACAGTAGGCCTAACTGCAGCCTTACAATGGCACCGGTTCAAGATGCTCCTTGTCAAATGATTTGCAGGACCAGTAGTAAGCAAAATAGTTGGCTCCCTGTTATGAGCTACAATTCCCTATAAAACTGGCTTCATTTTCATTTAAATTGCTATTGATTCAGTGCCAAATATAGAGCTATTTTTCTTTATATTGTTAATGTCAGTTTATACTGTACTGTAAGGATTTTTTTTTCTGTTGTGCAAGTGTCTCATCTTAATTTTCTTCTATAAACACGTTATATCGTCATTGCGGACTTATAAAATCCGCATAAACCTTAAAACTAAAAGAAAATGCATACTTTTGGAGTCCGTACTGAGCCCAAAAAATCCGCAATGAAAATATAACGTGTTTATACATTAAGTTCTACAATGTCATCTTTTCACAAAAACATTTTAGTATGCGCTAGTTGATTTTCAAGTGAAGTAGGAAATTATCATTACTGATATAACAAATAAATCAAATATTGTATTTATTAAGATATTTTTTTACTAATTTTTAATAGAGTACTTTTAAAGTAAGAATAAAATCCATTGTAAATTACGTAAGATTTTTTTTTAATAAGTTGTGTTATCTGTATTTTTTAAGATTATGTAATCTTACAGATATGTATTTATATTTTATACAAGTTATATTGTTTTTTTTCTTTTCTTCTACAGGATTTATGGTCTACTCTATTATTATAACATTGCAATGAATTAATTCAATGAATATTTAGTAAACGGATCCTACAGTGATACCTTAATAATAATCTTATATACATTCATTTTAATCAACATATGCCTGTATATTATGTCTACACGTACACGTTATAAGCTTAAATATTGTTTTTTATTGGCCAGATAGGTTTGAAGCATACTCAATTTAGACATTAACCTACACATTCTCCTTCGGCATGTTTTACCTTCCTTATTATTTACGAATTATCAATGAGGTTTTAATAGGCTGGCTATTGGTGGGATCCTTCATTTAGAAAAGAAATTTTCCATGTGATATATATTTTTTTGCAAGTACAGTAGAGTATTTGAGAATGTACTGAGCATTCAGCACAAAAACACAGGGCATATTTTCTATTAAATTTTCTGATTCATCGTCATTAGCAGACATAGGTAGGTAAGGGTTTGCATCTCTAACTTGCGTCTTACCTCAAATAATCCTGATGTATTGGATTTTACTCAATCAGAACGAGTCCTAATATTATATACAGTATTCCCCAAAAGGTTCCGAATTCGTATATAATTTGGTGCTCAACATTAGAGTCTTGTTTCAGGATCCACCTTAACAGACACTGCCAGGTCCATGGTTTTAAATAAGATAAAATCCAAGGTGTGAAAACTCGACCCACTATATTTTTTACCTTTTAATATTCTCAAAACCACTTGAAGGCGTGACAGGTACCAGAATAACAGAAATCTTTATTTTAAAATTTTAAGATCTAATTTTTGGTTCCTATGCTTTCAAGCAAATGAACCTTTAGGATACCCTTTGTGTGTGTATATGTATGTATGCGACATGTTGCACTGTTTTTTGTAAACAGGCAAAAGTGACTTTCCAGATATCTGTTCGCTATGAACGTCCGTATCCAAGCAAAACTGGATATGATGTTGTGCCCTATCTAATAATTTTCTATTTTGACCAACATTAAAGCCATAACTAATGAAATACCCCTACCCTTAAAAAGACTAGTAAACTGTATGATAAGAGGAAAACATTTATGGAATGTTGTTTACTTTTGTTGTCCAACTAACTGTCTCTAGGGACTTTCCTGGGTAGTATGAACAGAAAACTTTATCTACACTCCAATAACTTCAATTTTATACTGTGGTTTGGATAAGGTTCTGCAGACACAGCATAGAATTGTGTTGTGGTTTGATAAAAATAAACTTGATACTTGACAGGATAAGGCCCCATAAAAAATTATTTAGTTTATCAGCCTATGAAAGAAAAGAAAACTGATGAGGTAGGGAGGTTTTTTTTTTTTGTTTTTTGGGGGTTTTTTTTCCAGCCTCGCCCCCATTTTACCGATGTTCCATATGGAAACGTATCATTTGCTCTCCAAAGTCGCCTTAACCGTTGGAGAAATCTGGATTTTTTCGCAAAAGTACTTTTTGGTACAAAATCTAGGATTTTCTTGTAATGGCCCAAGCGGATTATGTTGTAAAAAATATTAATTTACCAATTCGTGAAGAAAAAATTTAAAAAAATCTCTACAGTTTTGTCGGAATACGCCGATTATAACAGCTCCTCATGCCGATTTAGATAGGGAATTTCAAGAAATTTGAGGTTTTTGGCTGTTCCGAGCTCGTTTCTTGCTCCCTCACTCACAGATTATTTGTTTGTTCGAATCGGCCCAAGTGGATTCGTGGAGAGAATATAATAAGATAGAAGCTGATATAAAACTTAGTATGATTGGTTGGGAGTTTTATTGGAAATTAAAATATAAAATCCAATCCACGATTGCCTTTCACAGGGTCAAAAAATCTCTCAAGCGTGATAGTCCGATTCACTGGTATGACGTTATACTTCTGTTTGCTTGACTTGTGTTCGCAGTGTTTGACTTCTTTCTTCGTGTAATTTGGCCTAATTTAGTTATCAGTTGGATTTTGTGTGTGCTTTTATTACCTTTATTAAAAAACAAATGTCCCAAGTCAAGATACTTGCAGCAAATAGGCTATATTTCTGCAAAAAATGCAATTTTTAGTCTGGACCGTTTGAAAATTTCCGTAGGGGTGTACCGTAAGGCTAAGCCAATCCCGCCAACACGAAAGTGTGGACTAGGGGAAGGGAGATATCAGCATTTGTTCACTTTCCATTGTACTATGTGTACTGTTAAATATGTGTTCAAATACAAGTTTTAACAAAAGAATATTGACTGTACAAATTGAGTTTTGTTTAAGTATTTAACCCAATAATGAAAATGAAACAAACCCAATGTTTTAATTGGTCGATCCAAACTGCTTGTACAGCGGGTTCATCTGACCTCAGTTCGCTGCTTTCGGGATAGCTGGACTAGTAAATGATAAAAAGAGGCAAAAACGTTTCCATATGCAAGTAAATCAATGGTTAGGGACATATATAACAAGTTATAACAATGGAATCAAATTTATATTAAAAAAATATGTTTTTGTTGTACCAATAAACATATTTGCAAGAAATCCTGAGCTTTTCAAGTGAAAAAAGATGGAAAAGCGACCGTTTGAAATAAAAAATATATGTTGATTGACAAAAAAAAAAAAAAAAAAAAATCTGAATTCCCAAAAAAATGATGAGGCAGTGGGTGATAAACTAATATTTTTTTTATTTTTTTATGGGGCCTAATCCTTTTGCAGCTTCTATCGGAAGCTAGACTACGTGTGTACAGTACGGTATATAGTGAAACCATTGTTGGCTCTGACCCATAGTTACTGTAGGACCCCACCTGACAGGTCAACCCCGACACCCCATCAAACAGAGCTCGTCGGGCAGTTGAACTAAAACAATAATAGGCCCATGCCAAGCCAACACATGTCTGTCACAGTCTTAGTGTCATTTCTGGCCATCCAGAGGTTCCTACACTTAAAAACATCACATTTGGAAGGGGAGCACACTCTCAAATCTTCCATGCTCCTGCCTACGAGCTCTAGTCCCCCGTCGGACAGCTCGGCCCCCAGAAAATATATCCTACAGAAACCACAGCTACTTCACCTATTTATCATTGGCACTAAACAAGCAGAACAAAAAACAAAAAAAAACCTGAGGGCAGGATTAATAATAAAATAATAATAGCATGCACATTCATGTGTCCCTGGTTTCGTTTGTTGCCGTGTTTACATCATCGCAAATACAGTAGTACAATATTCACGAATGCCGGTGTCACAAAAATTCAGGTACCAGGGCCGGCGGAACGTTTTTCAAAGTGGGGGAGGGGGCCCCACTTATAAACAGGGGTCTTGGGTCAGGGAGAAAAGGTAATAATTTTCCCGGTTAGTAATTTATGACTTGGTGTGATACCCGCCCCCCCCCCTTCCCCATATAGAAAACAATACGACATCGGGTTTATTTTATTATTAATACAGGCCACACACGTGTATTTGAAACTAAATATAAACATTTTCATCATGGTTTTATTTATTACAATCATAGGCCTATTCTTTCACCATCATTACACATTGAGGCCCTTCTTTTAGGTAAAACGATCTATCTTAAATTTTCTTTCTCAAGTTTTGGGACTATTATGTTTTTAAATAACTTAGAAGGCAAAGGAGGGCAAGCACAAGCTTTAATCCTAACAAATGCGCGCGAAAAATGTTTGTGTTTTTAATTCTAATTTCGTCGGAATTGATCAAAACTCCCTAAAATGTGCAATTTTTTTAGGAAATTGGCCTACCTCAATAAGAAATGCTCTAATGTTATATATGTTAAACTGAATATAAGCATTTTCCTTATGGCTTTATTTATTACAAACATATTCTTTCAACATCATTACACATTGAGGCCCTTCTTTTAGGTAAAACGATCTATCTTAAATTTTCTTTCTTGAGTTTGGGACTATGTGTTATAAATTAGAAGGCAAAGGAGAGCAAGCACAAGCTTTAACATTAAAAAATGCGCGCCAAGCGCGCGAAAAATTTGTGTTTTTTAAATTCTAATTTCGTCGGAATTGATCAAAACTCCCTAAAATGTGCAATTTTTAGAGGAATTTGGCCTACCTCAACAAAATATGCGGTTTAAAATTTGAGATTTTCAGGCACTTTCCCTGGTGAAAAGGGCATTCAATGGGGAAAGATTTTCCACAGTTGGATATTTTCCCCTTTTCCCCTGGTGCTTACGCCACTGCGGAGAATACCTGGCGGCTTAAATCAAATGCGCTATGGACATTTTTTGAAGTGGAGAAGTGGTTGCAGGCCGGGGTATTCTGATATCTGTTCATTATATCGTCCTTTTTATTCTTGTCTTTATTTTTCTCTTCCCTTTTTCTTTTCCTTTTTCTTTCCCCTCCTTTCTCTTTCGCTCCCTCTCCCTTCTTTCTTTTCTCTTCTTTCCCAGCCCAGTACGACAGCTTGGTCAGCCCGGTAAAAACCGTCAGGGGTCAACAGTCAGGGGGGACAGTCTGCCCCCCCTGTTACTCCACTGCTTATAAGATGAATGGGAATATGAATCATGCAGATCTGGAATCAAATCTAGGTGGTGGGGTCAACATTCCTCCCCCGGAAAAATTTTGATTCCTAGATGGCGGGAAATGAGCTGTTCCGACTTCTGAGGTGTCTTAATTACTTTTAAGTTCTTCAAAATCCAAGGTTTTCCCCACTTGAAAACGGTCAGGTAAATTTTTCCTATTGTTATTACAGTACATAGGCCTTATGTGTGTATACATACATAAAAATAAAAAAATAATTGAGTAGTTGTATATACGAATTTTCCATGAATCGATGAATCCCAAAAAGAAAGGGGGCTCGAGGGGTTCTCCCACAGGAAAATGTTGATTCCTAGAAGGCGGGAAATGAGCTTTCCCGACATCTGAGGTGTCTTTTAAATTAAAGTCATTAAAAAATACTTCAGAAGTCGGAAAATCTCATTGTCCACAATTTAGAAATCAATTATATTAATAATTATTATAGTTATAATAATTTTCAAGAGGGGAACACCTTGAATTTTGAAGAACTTAAAAGTAATTAAGTTCTTCAAAATTCAAGGTTTTCCACTCTTGAAAACAGTCAGATAATTTTTTCTCATTGTTATTACAGTAAATAGGCCATATGTGTGTATACGTACATAAAAAAAGATTGAATAAGTAGAATACGTAGTTTTTCCATGAATCGATAAATCTCAATTTAAAAAAAAAGGGGGATGTTCTGTGGTTCTACCCCGGGGAAATTTTGATTCCTAGGTGGCTGAAAATGAGATTTCCCGACTTCTGTGGTGTCTTTCAATGACTTTTAAATTCTTAAAATTTCAAGGTTCCTCTCCCCCCCCCCCTGAAAATGATTCAATTAATCAATGAACTCCAAAGATAAATGGGGGTCCGGGTTCCCCCGGGAAAAATGGCGGGAGATGAGCTTTCCTGACTTCTGAAATGTCTTTTAATGACTTTTACAAGTTCTTCAAAATTCAAATTTTTCTCATTTTTATTTTATGTGTGTATACATACATAAACAAATGAGTAGTTGCATGCGTATTATTTTTTCTATGAATCGATAAATCCCAAAAAGACAGGGTGGTCTGGGGGTTCTCCCCCGGGAAAATTTTGATTCCTAGATGGCGGAAAATGAGCTTTTCCGACATTTGAAGTGTGTTTTAATGAATATTATGTACTTCAAAATTCTAATTTTCTAAGTGCAAAAAAAAAAATCAGTTCACGGGTCCTGAAAAGGTAGGTCTAGAATTCTTTTCTTTTTTCCCCTTTTTTGTTTCCCAAGGGAGGGGTCAGGACCCATGGGTCAGGACCCATGACCCCCTCCCCCAGATTCGCCAATGTGAATTGCGAGAAAATGTAACTCGGTCGGGTACTGGATAAACATTCTCTTTCCTATCCTTCTCCTTCTTCCCTTTTTTTTTGCATTTCCGAAAATTTTTTTTGCATTTGCAAAAATCTCCAGACATTATATACTTTTTGCCAAAAAGTATATAATGCCCCCCGGCCCCCCGCTTCCGCCGGCCATGCAATGTTTTATAATCTTTGTTGATTTACAGACTATTCTGTGATTTAACAAGTTTGTGTTGTAGTTTATATTTAGTTTTCCGTGGTTTTAGAAGTCATGTCTGTCCACATACAAAATAAACATGTGCATTTATTGAATGTTGTAGATATACGGACACTGTGATGTGTTATAATCTTTGTTGATTTACAGACTAATTCTGAAATTTAACAACATTTGTGTTGTGGAGAAAACATGATTGTTCACATACGTCAACATCATGTGCTTTTTACCATTTTACTGAATATTGTAGCTGAGGCCTACTGACATTCTGTGTTAAAATCTTTGTTGATTTATACTCTTCTGTAATTTTCAACATTATCTTGTAGTTTAATTACATTTGGTTTTCAGTGGTTTTAGAAAACATATGTTGTTCACGTACAATATAAAAAATTGTGCATTTACTCAATTAAGGGACAATTGCCGTGTAACCCCATGTGATTGACGGGTATGATACCGGCAAGGTTCTTCACAAATGCGTGCAATAAAAATATGATTTAATTTATTTTACACAACTTTCTTATTCATTTACTAATAATATTAATATTTGTTTTAGAAAATAAAATTATCTTGAATAATTACGTTTGACGTATGTCACGTGACGAAACTTTCCAATAAGAAGTTTGCGCGGCACTATTTCTTTCTTTTTCTATTTCTCTCTATCGTATGGCAGTTGTATGAAGAGTAGGTGGAAGCTGACAAAGACATTTTAAGGTAAATTTCTGGCCAACGGTGCCACTAAACTTGTTATATAATGACCTACAAGTGTACGTGTATTCAAAATTTCCTACTATTTTTTTTATTTTTGTTGCAGTGAATTGCCATTATTATAATTTAGGTGGTAACGGAATGGTATAGGCCTGTTCTTCGTCTCTGTATGATGACGATGCCATCACCATGCCACATCAGGTCTAGGCCTAGGCTATAGAGTAGTAGCTTCTTTCTTCTCTGATTTATGCACATGGTCGCCAACATGAAATTGAAAATATAAAATATTAATTAAGTCAAATAAGAATATATATAAGCATATAGGCCTTGACCTAATAGATATATTTACACTTATAAATGTCTCCGTAAGCCTAGGCCTATATAATAAATATAATTTTTTTCAAAAATATATAGAGGTAGACATGCTAGGCCTTGACCTACCTATAATTATTACTAGGCCTAGCCAGTGGTGGGAGTGTATCATACTACATGTAATTATTTTTGTAGGCTTTACTTAGGTACAAGGCCTAGCTAGTACTAGGCCTCCTTAGGCCCTACTATAGAAAGGCAGTGTAATAGGCCAGCTAGGCTAAAGTAGAAAAAAAAAACTTTATTTATTTACAGATACACGCAGGTACTAGATAGAGGCTAGGGCAAAATTACTTAATATTGCACATTGAAAAATGTTCTTTCTTGACAGAAATTGTAAAAAAAATACATTAAACACAGGAAATACAAATGAGTTTGGAATAAAAAAAAAAAAACCCCTTTCTTTTGTAGTAGGAGCGATAAAGATAATACAACCTACTTTAATGTCACAACATAGAGGAAACAAAAAAGAAATTTGTTAAAGATGTATTCTCTCCCCCCCCCCCCAAAAAAAAATATTTTTACAAATTGATTTCAAAATTGCATTGCTCAATTTCAGTTATCGTTAAAATTATCAACTTATGAATAAAAATTAGTGTATTAAAAAAAATGTTTACCTTGGTTAAAGCAAATAATAGAAAAGGCTGTTAGCCAATGAAGTATTTTCTATTATTTTTAGTATTAACTGAACTGAAAAATTGGATCTAAACACTTTTCAACACTAATTTCTATGTTCAACTTGATTACTTGTATGTTACTTCTGAATCAGCAAGTTCATTTTAAATATGAGTACTTTGATTTTGGGGGACACTACATCTTAATTATGCAAAGTTTGGAATATATTTTCTTAAGTACCCGAACAATGTCTGCGACACTAATTATACGAATTTTCTTTATATTAATATTATTACAAACCATTTTCAAAATCCCTGACAGAACTATAGAAAGCCTGCGCTGCCTATAAAATGGAATACAGATCATTTCGGTCGCGCTTCGTTTCGTTTCGGACCCTTTGCATTTCGTAGGCAAAGGTTGTTCCTAACACCGAATACATAGAATCATAATAATATTTTTACTGCAATTTAACCTGCAACCAATTGAACGCAAAACACTCATTATTAATATTCTTTAACAAAATCTCTAGCATTTTATATTCAAGAAATTTTCTGATTTTAGTGTAGTTATAATGAATAACAGTAGAATGTTAATTTAATTTGTATCAAATTTTAATGTCTTACAGCCTTGATGTACTTGCTCAGTTATAAATTCAACAAAGTTTGCATAATGGTCATTGTGAGACACCTTTGTTAATTGATGAAGAGTAAAGATATTACAGTAGCATTAGCATAGATCGAGATACACGCAGTTGTACTATCAAAGAACAAACAGGTCGGTTTTTCTCAGTTGCACTCCACAATTATTATGAGTATTCAATGTAATTGTGGACATAAATCATCTACTGGAACTTCTATTTTAACACTCTATTCACTTCACCAAAATCAACTTGGTTTTGTTTTTTAATGTTCACACTTTCAGTGTAATTAAAGTTTTGTTAACTTTCCTACTGTTAGGTCCCATTTTTATCGTACTCATTTTGACACAAGCAAAGTAGGGGAAAAAAAACCTAAATTTGCCTCTTTAAGCAACAGTGATAAACAGTTATGTTGCAGTTTAAAAGAATGTAGACAGAAAGTATTAGACATAAAAGAACTGAAAAAGCATATACCACAGCACATATACAGTGGAATCAAAATGACATGCATGTTCAAAAATTGCCAAAGCATTTTTTCAACCAAAAATGCAATGAGGAGTCATGTCTCAAGATACCATGCATGTAATGTCATAGATGTAGCTTCACAATTTCTTATTCAAACTAATCCAACAGATATAATTTTGAGAGCAAGATCAGATTCACAATACATTACAAGGAAATGTTGATGAGAGTATACCAACCAACACTAGTAGTAGGTCTACTGAAGTAGCAACCAGTGGTATAAATTTATGTGTGGAATTCAAAGATGCATTTTTTTTTTAAATATGGCATTATTCTATCTAAATCTGCAGGCAAAGTTTTTACTACCTACTAGTACAATACAACACATTTATGGAAATATTAGAGACATAGTGGGCTTTTCGGAAAAGGCAAAGCAGGATCAAATGAAACTAATTTTAGGACAAAATGGAATTGCTTCAGAAGTTGTATGCACAATAATTTATGAAATAAACGATAATGATTTGTTAAAGCATGCCATTGACACACAAGGACCATTACGTACAGCTTATTGTAGGGAACAATTTTTCTTTAAACATTTTAATTATGTCGAGGCAAATGAGGTGTATCTTGGTAGAAATGCATATAACAAGGATTGTTACTATCATTATGTTCCCATAAAAGATACTATTCAAAGTCTATTTCAAGACAAAACTGTACGTGAGCAATTTGAAACCCCCACAGACTCGCTTCAACAAATTGTTTTTCTGATTTTCAAGATGGATCGTCCTTTAAAAAACCCCCATTTTTTAAGACTAAAGATAGATTGTTGCATATACTGCTCTTTCAAGATGCATTTGAAATAGTCAACCCTCTTGGTTCTGCCCGTACTAAGCATAAAATCTTTGCAGTTTATTTCTGTTTAGGGAATCTACATTGCCAAAGGTTGATCAAATACTACGATGGCCCACAAGGGACACACTGCAAAGAAAAAGAAATGCTGCAAACAAAAAAGAAACGCTGCAAACAAAAAAGAAATCATGGAAACAGAAAAGAAACGCTGCAAACAAAAATGGAAACGATGCAAACAAAAATAGAAAACACCAGCAAACAAACAAATGAAACGCTGAAATCAAAAAAGAAACGCTGCAAACAAAAAAGAAAAATGCTAGCAAACAAATAAAGAAACGCTGCAAACAAAATAAAAACACTAGCAAACAAATAAAGAAACGCTGCAAGCAAAAAAATAAAAACACCAGCAAACAAAAGAAAAACCTGCAAGCAAAAAATGAAATGCTGCAAACAAAAAAATGAAACGCTGCAAACAAAAAAAGGAAACCCCGCAAACAAAATGGAAAAGCCTTTGCGCGCGCGCATTTCATATTAATTGACAACAGACTGAGGTCAGGTCAGATGCGCTGCAGGACTACATCATAGTGTCAAGCCATGTTTTGCTCTAACTGTGGAACAAAAAGGGGTGTCTATAAAACGACGACCGAAGACCCAAAAACGAAGACCCCTATTTTTTTTCTCGTTCATTTTGATGATAATACGCCATGCTGTCACAAAATCGAATTTACGACAATTTTTGGGCGTCTGTTTGTGAAATTTTCAAGGGTCTTTGTTTTATAGACACCCTATATGGGTGTCTACAAAACAAAGACCCGAAAAACGAAGACCTTCAATTATTTGTCAATTATCTTATTGAAAGTATTTCAAAATCATCATAAAACAGTTGCCAAGTACATGTTTCATTATTCTATCAATAATGAAGAAATAATGAAAAAAATGTGGGTCTTCGTTTTTCGGGTCTTCGGTCTTCATTCGAAGACCCTTAATTATCTCGTCCATCCTATGTTGGTGTCATTACCAAATGACCGATGCTGCACATATGCGTCACTATACCACATTCCTACTGTTTATTTTAACATGGAACAAGTTTATTGAATGAAATATTCAAGGTTTCTATAGGTCCCCAAAATACGCGTACCGCTAGGCCAAGCCTTCGTTAGAGGGTAGCAGCGCCAAGACGCGCTCAGCCACCAGCCGTGGACGTACAACATTGGTTGTCGCTTTGGAACTGGAATAAAGGGTAAATCATTCAATTGACTCAGATTCAGGCAACAATGTGCTAAGAAGACGAATACTATATATACATAGCATGAAGTGATTTTAAAAGATTATTTTATCACGATTGAAAGAAAAGTAAAAGTGGGTCTTCGTTTTTCTGGTCTTCGGTCTTCGTTTTGTAGACACCCATAGGGTGTCTATAAAACGAAGACCCTTAAGTATTTCTTGATATTCCTCATTTTATTCCGATAAAATAATGAAATAATTA